TTTTTTTTTTTTCTTGTCTTTATTCAAATATGCGATTCAAGGAAAATTCATCACTTGACTCGTGGATTCCGCGTCAAATTGTCCTTGAAAACTGGTATTGCACTCATCGCTTCGCAATTCGTGCGATATCGCTTTTATTAATTTAGTCATAATTATTATTTGTTTTCTTCGTTCCTTTTTTTAATTGTAAGTAAGCAGCAGCCAACTCGAAAGCTTTGTTTCTTTGGCTGTTGCACACTAATTAAAAAATCATGTGTGTATATAATTATAGATCTTCTACTATTAACTTTTCTATACTTGTTTTGTTTTTTTTTCTTCTTGCTCTTTTTCTTCTACCTGAATAGTGTGAATAAAAAATGTTGCTGTTGTTGTTGTTGTTGTTGTGTGCAATTTAAAGTTACTTCACACCTTCGCGGGTGTCATTCGAGGAAAATTCGTACGCGCACTAGTTTCGAGAAAACCTTATAGAGGATATTACATGGCCGCTTGGGGATACGAATTTTATCTTCTCGTGCTGAAAGTATCTCTCATGAGTGAGCGCAGCTCACTCGCAAGAGATACTTTCAGCACGAGAAGATAAAATTCGTATCCCCAAGCGGCCATGTAATATCCTCTATAAGGTTTTCTCGAAACTAGTGCGCGTACGAATTTTCCTCGAATGACACCCGCGAAGGTGTGAAGTAACTTTAAATTGCACACAACATCAACAACAACAACAATAGCAACATTTTTTATTCACACTATTCAGGTAGAAGAAAAAGAGCAAGAAGAAAAAAAAAAAAAACAAGTATAGAAAAGTTAATAGTAGAAGATATATAATTATATGCACACATGATTTTTGAATTAGTGTGCAACAGCCAAAGAAACAAAGCTTTCGAGTTGGCTGCTGCTTACTTACAATTAAAAAAAGGAACGAAGAAAACAAATAATAATTATGACTAAATTAATAAAAGCGATATCGCACGAATTGCGAAGCGATGAGTGCAATACCAGTTTTCAAGGACAATTTGACGCGGAATCCACGAGTCAAGTGATGAATTTTCCTTGAATCGCATATTTGAATAAAGACAAGAAAAAAAAAAAAGAAAACTGCATTACTTGTGGCTGTTATGTATACGTAGATACGAAACAATATCGCTTAGCCTTGTTTTCAACTCGCAATTCCACGCTGAGCACCTCGCTTCGTTAACCAATCAGAATGCGAGATTTCATGCAAAGATGCAATTCTATCTGATATTTGGTCTGCTGACTTGGAAAAAGGTACACCTTAAATTTAACCTCAGCAATCTTAATAGAGGAAACATCAAGGCTAGGTCTCTCTGACGGCTTATCTCAGGTTGATCAATTCTCGACCCTGTCATAACAATCCAACAAAGACGATAGCGCCTCAAGCATTCTTCAGTACAATGAAATATATGAAGTTCATATATTTTGAACTGCGGTATTAGATACGTATGATGTACGATCCTCGCAGTAGATAGCGCTATTTAAGCAATAGCGAAAATCAGACCTGAAAAAAATCAGGCCTGTACGGGATTCGAACCACTGACCTCTGCGATACTAGTGCAGCGCTCTCACCAATTGAGCTAACAAGCCAACTGGAAGCAGGCCGTTAAGTTGATTCATAATAAACCCGTGAAAGGGTTTATTACGAATCAGGTTCAAGGTTCGAATTCCGTACAGGCCTGATTTTTTTCAGGTCTGATTTTCGCTATTGCTTAAATAGCGCTATCTACTGCGAGGATCGTGCATCACACGTATCTAATACCGCAGTTCAAAATATATGAACTTCATATATTTCATTGTACTGATTTATCACTTTCACGGGTTTATTACGAATCAACTTAACCGCCTGCTCCCAGTTGGCTTGTTAGCTCAATTGGTAAGAGCGCTGCACTAGTATCGCAGAGGTCAGTGGTTCGAATCCCGTACAGGCCTGATTTTTCTCAGGTTTGATTTTCGCTATTGCTTAAATAGCGCTATCTACTGCGAGGATCGTGCATCATACGTAACAAGCATTCTTCCTAATAAAAAAAATGTCACTGACAACGCTGTAGAGTCGTTCACTTACAACCTCAGGGGCTAAATAGCTTTGCCCTTCGTATTTCATAACGGTGCCGTTTCTGCGGTACAACGGAACAGATGAAACCTTAAGGCTCTTTCCAAAGTCTAGAAGAACTGGGCTGAATTCCCCACAGATTGAGGGCCGTTCTAGTACACATTGTTTCCTTTTATATCGTTATGAAGGTATCCTTTAGAATGCACGTGGTCTAAAGCACATCATATCTTTTGAAATATAGAAATACAGTTTGCTGTAGTTACAACGTTGTTATCGTCCTCTTGATGGAGAGTTAAACTTTCTTACTGGACACTTTGAAATTGAGTCGCAAGGCATAATGGTGAGGTCCTTGTAACAAAACCAAAAATCATGCGTACATTCGGATGGTCCCCCAAAGCAGAAGCAACCTTTGTTTCGTGGAGTAAATCTCTCCTTATTCTTTCTTTATCCTCTTCATTGTGGGTCATTCGCTAGACAATAATCTCGATGCCTCGATAGCGCCTGAGAAAACACACTCCAAGGCTTCCACTGTCAACTGGATTTTAGACAAGTATTCAATGTCTTCTGGCCTACGTTCTTTGGCTTCAAATTTGGATCCATTGATCGCTGTGGTTTTTTTTTCTTTTGCAATTAAAAAGGTTTGTTGACGTTTCTAGCGAGGTTTCTGCGAGACAATTGCGTCGGCACCAACCGCCATTTGAATCATCTTAGCAGCTCTTGAGCAACCACCCAAGTCCACGTTCTTCTCTCTGTTGCCTGGTTTAAGCGCGAGGAGACAGGGTTCTTGATATTTTTCGGCTCAAGATATTGGTTCGAAAGACGCAGCTTCTTTTCCTTAGCCACAGAAGTACATGGGACCTCGTCATTTGCTTCGTGGTTGAATTATTTTAGTTCAACATTTTTATTCGTTGAATTCGGCATTTGCTTCCCTTGTTTCCTCTTTCCCCTTCTTTTCTCTGTCTGTTTCTTTCTTCTGGAGTGTTTTTCGTGTTTTGATAACTCGCTCTTTTCGTTTTTCTTCATTTTCAAATTCCTTCACAAATTCCGTCATAATTATGCAGCTAACTGATCTATTTTCGAAATAGAAATGAGCTCGAGATCGGTGTACTAGTATAAAACAAAGGCTACTTGATGTGCAAGAAATTCAATGCTCGTTTTAATGAGCTCGATGACATGTACAAGCCGGAGTTGCTCTTCAATCGTGTCTGGTTTGCTTTCAGTATGTGACATTCTTCTGTCAGAAGAACGTCGGGAAAAACACCTCATAAGGATCATACGTGACAACACCCGCCGCGCCTCGACTAACGCTTAAAAAGCTCTATACCATTCCTTACAATAAAATTATAAGGAATTGTATGGAGCTCTCCGGGATACTTGCAGTGTAAGCCCCATGTGTCTTCTCATGTGAGTGAAGCGGGGAGAGAGGGTTTTCGAAGGACTTCAGTTTGGGAATCACATGGTTTTCAGAGGGACTACAGGAGGTTTACAGGAGGGGCTATTGAGAATTGACCGCCCTTGAGGGGGACCATATAAATAGCACAGAACCTTGTAGGAGCATTAGATTCCTTCCCTCCCCCCCCAGCGATAAATAATGACGGATGCCGAAACAGAATGTCTTGCTCGTTAAAGGTTAAGAAATCACATTTCCATTTTCAGTGTTTTTGGATAATAATCCTCAAGTGATGTACTAGATTTTATGTTTGTTTTATTTTGACTACGTTCTGACATGCCAACTTGTGTATGGATCATTGTCACACAATGCAGACACATTTAGAGGATCTGATTCTGTCGTAAGAGCTATTTTTTAGTTATGAATTTCGTTCGCTTTTAATATGTCAACTTACCATAGGGTAATTTTTATTTCAGGCTAGCCTTACATCCCTCTCCAGAAAAGCTTTTCTTCATGTAGATGCACTATCCGGCTTCAATAAACTACACGCGGCTGTATTTCATGGCGACTATGACACGTTTATGAAAGCTGCGATCCATCTTGGGAATTTTGTTCAAGACATGAATTTACTAAGAACAGGAAGCCAAGCAAAGGTATTTCCTGGAAAAACTGCGTTAGAAATTCTCTGGGCTCTGCAAAATAAAGGAGAAGGAAATCTTGATATAGAAACATTTTACGAAGAGCATGTTGAGAAGATCGATTCATTAACCGAGCTGCACTTATGTGACTGCAATAATGATGCTGAGAAGGCTGTGGAGATTGTTCTAAACGAGGGTGTGGATATAAACATACCAGGAAAATGCAACCGCACACCTTTGATGTGGGCGAGTATATCATCATCTGGTGACTTTATCAATACCCTCATTGATCTTGGAGCTGACGTAAATGCTCAGAGGACGGACAGCAAGGCTGCACCTTTGCATTTGGCAGCTTGGTACAACAACTACGTGGCCGTTGACATCCTTTTAAAGCATGGAGCCAAATTATGTCTTCCAAACATCCCTGAATGGATGGGATTGCATAAGTTTGTAGATAGTGGATTTTTAAGCGTCTCCCGGCTACTAATAGATTCAGGATGTGACGTCAACCTGTGCAACACCAAGGGTCAAAGCCCGCTTTTTTTCGCCGTCAAAAATAAACAAAAATACATAGTCAAATGTTTACTGGAAAGCGAGGCTGATGTGAATCTGAAATATAAAGAGAATGGAAGTGATAGAATCTATCTCGTTCGTGGGACAGACGGGGGAAAACTATGCTGGCAATATGTCCTGGTAAAGAAAGCCTTAATGCCCTTGTTCTTAAGGCGGACTAATGGTGGTAGTCTTGACGTTGCCGACTTTGGACTCATCCTCACGAGTGGGTGGGGAAAGGATCCTCCAGAGAACGTACGGCAAAGTATCAATGAAATGGGTTATACCTTTCCTGACACACAAAGTCAGACAGTTCTTCATGTTGCTAGCAAAAGTGCTGGTCCCGACATTGTAGAGCTAATTGTGAAGTACAAAGCAGATATAAATGCATGTGATGAGGACGGATTCACACCTCTGCATTTTGCAGCGATGAATGGCAACATTCCAGTTGTTAAAAAGCTGGTTGAACTCAACGCCAATATTGACTTGAAAGTGGATGGAAAAGATGCAGCTGACTTGGCTCAAATGAACGAGGAAACAGAAATTG